CCATCCATCCATCCATCCATCCATCCATCCATCCATCCATCCATCCATCCATCCATCCATCCATCCATCCATCCCTTCCTCATTAGTGCAAAATCTCTACATTTCAGTCTTTACCTGTGATGTCTTTGAACTGCTGAACCAACATCTACCCACTCACCACGTAGGACTTTAATGATTTATAACGGCTCCAAACATTCTCTGCCTTGTTTATAATGTTGAAGATAATTCCACTGATCATCATGTTTTATTTTTAGAACATCCAATTTAAACACACATGCTGATTTATCTTTTGTGGCTCAGCAACTACATCGTCAGGGAGGCCATTAGACATGTTGAAGGCATTTATTGTGATTTCATGCATCGTTATTATTTTAATTTCCAAGCCCTTTTAAATGAGCTCCAGCCTTATCTTCCCTTCTTTAAAATTCTGGGATGTCTGCCCATTTTCCTAACTCAAGCCTAAGAACAGGGGAAAGACTTACTAGAAATCAGAAATTTAAAAGTATTTTATTGAAGATTTTGTGATAAAAAAAAAAAGGGGTGGGAGGGGTTTGTAGAAACATGTATGATTTACGTGATTCTAACTAAACTTTCATGTTTTTTAAATTAAAATGAGAAGAAAATAAGAAAGGTAAAATTTTTGTTATGATTTTCTGTTGTTATTACTGGAAAAGCAATCAAAAACACCTGTTTAAAGTTGCTCGGTTTCTACAGGATTGCCTTATTGTAAAGTGACACATGGAACATCTATGAAAAAACACAGATTACTTTCACACTGACCACCAAATCCTAGGCAAAGGGCAAACAATTTTACAACATTAACATTTACAAAATGCATAGGGAGTAGAGATTCAGGATTCCTTGTTGTGTCCTTGGTTAATACACTTCGCCCTGCTTGTCTGTTGGTGATCCTGTCAGCCTGCCCCAGGGCAGCTGTATCTACAATGTATCATAGCATTGTCAGCGTGTGAATGTGTCCACTGATGGACGAACCGATGGACATTAGATCTAAAACTATACTTTGCTCTCAATTAGTTTTGCATTTATTTGTTTTATGTTGGCTGTATTTTCTCTGTAAACTGATTTATTTTATGTGCTTTCTGTCTCTGTGTTGCATTTGTCGACCTCTTGACCAGGTCACCCATGAAGAAATTTAATTCAGGGACCAATTTGAATTATCTTGCTTGTTTCTCTATAAAATCTAATAAATGTTTGACTAGCTCTCAAGTATTAATATTATTTATTTGTACATTTCCATTCACATTTATTCAAGCACCAATGATGCACTGTTACAGAAAATTAATTAGTTCTGTGTCTTATTTCTGAATCAGGTGAGTAAATATATGTATATTTGTTTTATTTATGCATATTTATTCTTGAAAGTGATCTGTAAGGTGTGTTTTATTTCATAAATTAAATCTTAGTTTTATTTGTGAAATCAGGTAGTTATAATTCCTACTAAGAAAATAAATATATAACAGTTCTGCTCTCTGTTGCTTCTGTTTTATGAACTCATTTGTAACTTGTAATTAGCTGATGTATCCTAAATTAAGGTTTGCAAATATTCTTTATGAATTAGTGAAAAGGAGGTCTATTTTTTTGTTGTACTGATGCATTAATCCTGGATATGTCAGAAATAAACAGATTAATAAAACGAAGAGCTGCTCCCTCTGGCTACATTTAAGTAAAATCGATAACAAAGTGTATTGTCCTATTCCCTTGATGCTAAACAGTTTACATTCTCAGAAGATCAATAAGACTTTAGAGAAGCTCAGAGCTGAACACCCGCTCAGAGATGCCTTTTGATGTGAGCAATAAAAAGCACATGTTTACCGCACCAAGGGTGGTTTTCTAGGAACACGCTAGCGGTGCTTTTAGTGCCTCTCCTGAGCAAGCTTATGGCTCAACTATTTTATGTGCCGACAAATGCATCCATCCGTTTATTACCAGAGCAGCTTCAAACGAGGGATGTCACATCGCTGAATCCATTAACATTTAAAACATATCTGATAACATTTGATTTAATCTTGACTATATAGCTTCTTGTTTTTATGCTTTCAATTAACATTTAAGCAGTTAAAAAAAAAATTGACAGAGAGGCAATAAGACTAATTAATTACTTAAATGATCATCACATTTTTTTGTAATCCTGTCGTGCTTTTTTTACTGTTAATTCTAAGCTTACAACTGAAGCCTAAAATTAACTCCAAGACGTCGTTTCTCACAAAACTGGAATATTACATGAGACCTTTGGCATTTGGTTTTCTAAACCTAAAATGTAATTGTGTGGTTTTCACAATCATCTGAGTTCTAACTTGACAGTCGTCCAGTAGGTAGTAGCCAATACAATCAACTAAGAGAGTAAGACAAAACAAGCACTACATAAAGAAGATGGCTATTAAAAGGGTGCTGTGCATCTGCATGTAGATGGAAATTAATCTAGAGCTATTAAACAAGAAATTGCACAAAATAGGGGTAACATATAATTAGTGTTGCACCGATACCAGTATCGGACGGGGGCCCCGACACTGCCCTAAAATGGTGGTATCGGTATCGGCGAGTACCAACAAATAGGGC